CACCACAGACACCACAGACACCACAGACACCACAGACACCACAGACACCACAGACACCACAGACACCACAGACACCACAGACACCACAGACACACAGACACACAGACACACAGACACACAGACACACAGACACACAGACACACAGACACACAGACACACAGACACACAGACACAAAGACACACAGACACACAGACACAAAGACACACAGACACACAGACACACAGACACACAGACACACAGACACACAGACACACAGAGACACAGAGACACAGAGACACAGAGACACAGAGACACAGAGACACAGAGACACAGAGACACAGAGACAGACACAGACACACACACAAAAAAGAAGAAGAAGCCAAAACCACGCAAAAACACACACACACACACAAACACACACAAACACAAACACACACACAGACACAGACACAGACCCAGACACAGACACAGACACAGACACAGACACAGACACAGACAGACACAGACACAGACATAGACACAGACACACACACACACACCCACACACACACACACCCACACCGACACCCACACGCACACGCACACGCACACGCACACGCACACGCACACGCGCACGCACACACACACACACACACACGCACACACACACACACACACAGAGACACACACCCACCCACCCACTCACCCACCCACCCACCCACCCACCCACACACGCACACACGCGCACGCACGTGCACACACGCGCACGCACGCACGCACGCACGCACGCACGCACGCACGCACGCACCCACACACACACACACGCAAACATGTGGTAGTCAATCAGCAAATGTTCCTATTCACCCACTCACCCAAACAGACACACACACACACACATGCAAGCAAACAACTCCCACAGAAACACACACACACACACACGCACGCCCACACAGGCAAGCACGCGCACGCCCGCGCCCACGCGCACGCGCACGCCCACGCCCACGCACACACACACCCTCACCTGCACCCGCACGCGCACGCGCACCCACACCCACACCAACACCCACACCACTCGCACCTGCCTTCATGTACGCCCTCATGCTTGGACACGCAAGCGCCGGGGCATATTTTTTGTTTGCCTGCTTGGGAGCTGGCTCCTTAAAATATACATTTTGCCCAATCCAGCAAAATAAAGGGAAACCACCATTTACAAGTTGCAATGTTCAGGTGTATAATGTTGGGCGCTGGTCGTTTTCTGGGGAAGCGTTCGGATGCTCAGGTCCCTCACAACGACAAAGGAGGCCTTGCGAGAGAGCGTGCTGACAGACACTGACAGGCAGGTAGGCAAACTGATACAATAAAAGAAATGACGCACACAACTTGACTGCTGTTAAATTAGATCTTTAGACTTGAACTTTTTGGGAAATAAGGGTGTTTTCCACTAAACCACCAAAAAGTTAAACTTTTTGCAGTGGGGTCAAGAGCAACCAAGACAACAAGTAAAGAAAGACATATGAGCAAGGTCAAAACACGCCATGAAGAGTTCATTACTGTGGCCGCCATGACATGACCAAAAGCTTGAAAACATGTAGTAGGCGACAGGGGGGCCATGAAAAGCGACACCCCTGTTTAGGGTTAGCGGGGTTTTGGATGATGAGTTGCGCAAGTATATAAGTACCCATTTACTGACTTGCATGGACACTTCTATGTAGCAAGGAATTATGCAGCATTGTCCCGATGGCTCTCGCGAAGGTGTATTTCACTATTCATCGTTTCCTGCATAATGCCCGATTTGCATGTGGAAGCAGATTTCTTGCAGCCCCCAGAGTTGGGAAAAATCCGGCCGCCGGAGCGACACCCAAAGCGACACCAGATGGAGCGACACCCATAATTGCTTCAAGTAGGCAGTTGCCCATTCGGAGAGGAAACCAGTGCATGGTCCGAGAAGCCTAACGCGCTGGAAAGGCGGCGGACACTGCTGCCAGACTTTGAAGAGCGCGCTAGGAGGCATCAAAAGCAATTGCAGCGAGCCAGAGCTGCTGCTCGAGCCCGGCAGGCTGTCCTTAACCAGAAGCGTGGCTCGCAGAGTTCTAGCTCAGACTCCCCAGCGGGCAGCTCTGACGCGGCTAGCGGCTAAGAAGAGGCGCGCTTCGCTTGCGTGATTGTATAGAGTCTCCACAAATTTGCGATTTTCGAGCTGGAGCTGCGGAAGTGTATTTCGCGTACTTGACTTGTACTACAGAACTGCGATTTTCGAGCTGGAGCTGCGGAAGTGTATTTCACCTACTTGACTTGTACTACAGAGTTGCAATTGTCGAACTGGAGCTGCGGAAGTGTACTTCGCGCACTAGACTTGTACTACAAAGTTACGATGTTCGAGCTGGGGGTGCGAAAAGTGAGCTACCACTGTAGTGAGCGACAGGGGGGCCATGAAGAGCGACACCCGTGCCAGCGATGGCAGCCAGCCATGTAATGTGTTTTGACCGTCGCACATATGGAGAGAATGAAACAGAGAATTAATCAAGTACACAAGCAACAATGAAAGCAAAAACAGATAAATAAAGCGGAAGACCATACTAGAGCAAAGGGAACCAATATATAAGCAACTACAAACATCAAGACATGATGAATCAATTTAATGATTGAACCACATAGGTAAATACATCGACAAAGCATGAATGAGCAGAATAATAATCAAAAGGAAATTAAGCAAAGAAATGATTCGGACAGAACGCAAGAACACAAGAAGGCAAGCTAGGAAGGAAATAAGGGCAGAAAAGATAGACAGAAGGAAACAACACACACACAAATATCGAACGAGCGACAGTGAGAGGGAGAGAGGGCAGAGCGAGCCACGTGTTTCCCTGTTTCTCTCATTGGTTTGCCAAAAAGACATATTGTGTATTTTTTCCGGGGGTACCCAAATGAAAGAGCAGGACCTTTTTGGGGAGGCAACGGGAAAGAGAAAGATGGAGAGAGAGAGAGATGGAACAAAACAGAGGGTCAATCAGAATCACCCCCGCGGAAGCAAGGTGGACTAAACACATGAAGAAGCTATTTAAACACGTACTGCCTCCTTTGGGTATGCCTTTGGTCAGTCAAAGGCATCCTTCCTTTGACATGCTTGGAAACTAAAGAGTCGGTTTTTGTTTGTTTACGGGGGATTCCCTTGACAATGGTTACAGGGCATAAATCCTTGTAAATGATGACGATGTCCACATCCACCAAAGAGTGCTTAACAAATGAAGAAGCAGGCACCCATTGCTTGATGTTAGCCCAAACTTGGTACTAGACTCTCCTTCTGACCCGAATCAAAAATGGGCCCATTTGACCCGAAGCTTTCTTTGGGTAGCGATCCCATGATTAAGGGGTCAGAAGGAGAATCTGGGTATATACTCTTTGCTCCCGTGCAACAACAACACAAATATCGGCATTTAACCAGATGTCATGGCTGCTGTGGTTGTCAAAGCCAACAGTACCATTTTGGCGGGTAGGTGAACTCACCACCCATTTTAGCCTTCCTATTTTAGTGGTTGGATCGGATGTTCACTGGGGGCCAGCCGGGCTTTTGACGCCCATGGCCATGACGCCCATGGCTTGCTGCTTTTCGGATCCCCACCCCCTCAAATTTTTGGAAGTGGGGGAGGGGGGATTTCGACTTTTGGAGATCGAGATCTCCATTTCTGGTAAGCCGTTTTCCCTATGGGGAAGACTAGAGAGATGGAATTGGGGACCCCCCAAAACCCCAACCCCCCTTCCCCTTAACTTTGGTGCATTTTGCCAAGGGCTGTTAGGACTGAATAACTTTTTGCCCACTAATGGGTTTTCCGTACTAAACCACTACAAGCTAGTCTCTTTTAGCAGGGGAGCAGATTTCGCGACCGAGTTTTAAGGTAGGGGAAATCCTTTCGGCCTCCGAAAGGAGGAAAAAAGAAAATCGCGCCAGGCCGCCTGACGCAGAAGCCCTCCATCACACCCGGCGCCCGGATTCGGGATTCGGGATTCAGGTTCCTGGTAAAGGTCCGTGGGTTTGTTTCAATGCCTGCCACAAATGTGTTGTGTCTTCTTTTTTGAGGGTACCCACCAAAAATTGGGATTTGTTCCTTTCGGTTTCCCTTTAGAACCACAAAAGAAGGGACCCTCAAAAACAGACACACCCATATGTCGGTGTTTCTTTTGCTTCCGTTTGAGCCAACCTCAAATTTGCTTGGCTCGCAAAATAAACGCCTTTTTTCTTCCGTGTTTGATGGGAAAGACAATTCGAGTGGTTTCTGTGGGGTTTCCCTATCCCCGGTTGGGAACCTCAGGCAGGGCCTTGGGCCCTCGATCATAGTTTTGCACCCGACCGCAGGCTGGTCGAGAAGGGTTTGGTAAAACGGGCGGCTGCACCCATGAAGGTCACACGGGGCGGCGGCCTGTCAGGAGAGATCCGATTCTGCATACATGAAGGTGGTTCCTCAATGCAGGTTGGATATCTATCTATATGTATATATACAAACAAGAAGAAAGTGCAGATGTGTGAAGACATGGCCCAAGATGGTGGTAGTAAAGATGTGAATTGACCCGATTTTTTGGCACAAGGGCAAACTCTCCTCCGAATCTTTCTTTTGGGTAATGATCCAAATTTTTAAAGGGTCAGAAGGAGAGTCCAGGTGCATTTTGTGAACTGTGCCCCTTTCAGACTTTGGCAACTAGCATGGCTGGGCCTTAGTTGCCGGCCTTTCTGTGTATAGGAGCGCCTGTTCAGCACTCGCGTGTTTTTTCCCCTTCGGCCCTTCTGTGGGTTTCCCTTGCGAGTTTCCCACCGTGGTATGATGATAAATGCCCTGCCATATCAGGACCCCTGCCTTGCAGTTTGTGAACCTTGTCGGCACCTTTCCCAAAGAATTCCCCACCCATTCGGATGTTTTAAAGGGGTTATACGAGACTTGGTGTTTCCCAGCCGTCCCCTTAGCCTTTAGACTTTTAGTTGGTTGAGTGGTAGTTTCCATCCAACCCACTGAAAGTTAAACTAGCAGGGGGTCTGAACATTTCCAGCCCAGAACAGGACTCGAAGCAAATCGCTACGAAGCCAAAGCTGGACACCTTCGAAGGCCCTCGGCCCCGCCCGACGCCCCGACGCCTTGGGATCTATCGACCGAGGCATCGGCATGCTGGGCCGCGCCTACCAGAAATCTCTGAGCTTCGACCAGGCTCCGATTTTCTCGGTTCGCGGATCACGCCTGGGATCAAAAGGCCCGGACAAACATGGGATGACCATTGGCTGGAGAACCGCATGGTCATTTTTTGTTTTTTTCTACATGGGATTGTTTTTTCTTGTTCTACATGGTCATTGGTTGAAAAAAGAGATGAGATTGTTCTAAATGGGAGAAGTTGACGCATGGTCATTTAGTGGCTGGGAATATATTGATCAACCCCATTCGACAAAACAACGGTCTGACGAGGCGGCCATGGATGAAAAGCCATTTTTTTTGGGCTGGGGGTGTGGACGGATGTATCCAAATTTGACCTCCCTCATGTTGAGTTCGTTCGGCTTCTCCCGACGACTCTCCATGACCCTTTAAAAATGGGATCATTACCCCAAAAGAAAGGGGTCATGACCCAGTTTTTACAGGGTCATGGAGACTCTAGGTAGGTTCTTTTATGGCTCAGAAACTGAGAAACGGGTTCGTTGGTCTGGGGACCTCGCGCACCGGACTTGGAAGGGCCCTGCTGTGCAGAAGAGCTTCCTCGTGAGGCGGATCCGCCCGGTGGGAGCTGGTTGGGAGTCTTTATTTGGCGGTAAGGGAAACAACACTTCCATTTTCTTCAGAATATTTGTTGTTTTCCCCTGTTGGATTTGAAAGGACTCTATCACTACTGGATATTTTTTTCCAGGGGGGTCTTAACCAAGGAAGAAAAAGGGAATACATTTTGGTATTCTTTGAAGAAACCCTTGTTTGGGACTCAAATCAACGGAAACTCAAGGGAAAAAGTAAAAGGCGGTCCCTCCTTCAAATGCACTTGGGACACTTGCCTTTTTGATGGAGTTCACTTTGGTTGTTTGGTGCAGCTGTTAGCTCTCCGATTTGCTTGGGAAGGAAAGAGGCTTTTGTTCATTGGTGAGCACGTGTTGCAAAGTGTCCTTGGGCGATTTGGTGACTAACAGGGTGCCTTGTTTTGATGAATTGCCTCCTCACACCCATGCTTCCATGGAACCTGACTTGTAAGTTCCAGGGCAAACAAAATATTGCAAAGGAACCGTCAGGTGTTTTCCATGTCAGTGGGAGTGGGAGGAAGGGTAACTCTTCAGCATGCTGAGCAAAAATTCCAGGCATACCGGAGACTCGGGAAAGAAAAACAAACAACTGAGCAGAACCCAGAGGCAAAATCCGTCCATTTGCTTATTTGCTCCCTGGACCAAAAAACAATCTATTTCCAGCAGTGAAATCGATTCAAACTTTAAGCCCAACATTGAGAAAATAAACAGAATAATTATTCTAGGCACGGAACAATTTGTTGCTTGCAGTTGGTCGCTGAAGGTAAGTGGAAGGAACACCCAATCTAAACTCCTACACCAATCAATCTGAGCTACAGCACACTCTGAGCTACAGCAAACCCAATAAACAAAAGCGAAAGGCGACTACCGTACGAACTCCAAACCCATACACCAGAGTCATCAAAACCCAGTATTCAATTGGTCTACCCAAATCCTTGTAAGGAATTGAAAAGGCGGCCACACCTTTTTGTGGCTGGGACTGCCCATTACTAACCTTCATCTACCCAGGTTTTGATTGTGCCTCACCTTAACAAGCTGAAGTTCGCGTGTTGACCCAGCTGGTCAGTGGCACTCTTGTCCCTTTTGCTTGGTGGGTTCCCCTTGAGAAAGGTCAACACCAAACTTCCATTTGCTGAAATGAATATGTTTTGTTTCCCCTGTTGGACATATATTTGTTTTCCCAGGGGTCTTAACCAAATGGAAGCAAGCAGGAGATCCTCACAGAAACACACCAACAGCAAGCTGCCCGCGCCCGCACCGCACCCCCACGCGCAGGCATGCACGCACGCACCCACCAACCCACCCACCCACGCAGACAAACAAACAAACAGCACAGACACACACACACACATGAGCCACGGACAAAACACACGAAGACCACTTTATCAAGGCGGGGTACGTTTTTGCAGAACACATGCCAAAACCATGCAAAACGATAAGGTCTCCCCCAAAAACGATAACCCTTAGCTAACACACGGCTCTATAATAGCCCCTGCAGTTGCAACTTAGCTAGGGTGGGACCCTTGCGTGGCCACCGTAAAACGAGAAGGCGAGTTGCCACTTTCGAGCTGGAGCTGCCAAGGTGTGCTTCGTAAATACGACACTTGTGCTGAGAAGTTGCGATTTTCGAGCTGGAGCTGCGGAAGTGTACTTCGCGTACTAGACTGGCACGACTAAGTTTCGATTTTCGAGCTGGAGCTGCGGAAGTGTACTTCGTGTACTAGACTTGTACTACAAAGGTGCGATTTTCGAGCTGGAGCTGCGGAAGTGTACTTTGCGTACTAGACTTGTACTACAAAATTGCGATTTTCGAGCTGGAGATGCGGAAGTGTACTTTGTCTAGACTTGTACTGCAAAGTTGCGATTTTCGAGCTGGACTTGTACTACAAAGTTGCGATTTTCGAGCTGGAGCTGCGGAAGTGTACTTCGCGTACTAGACTTGTGCTACAAAGTTGCGATTTTCGAGCGGGAGCTGCGGAAGTGTACTTCCCGTACTAGACTTGCACTACAAAGCTGCGATTTTCGAGCTGGAGATGTGGAAGTGTACTTCGCTTACTAGACTTGTACTACAAAGTTGCGATTTTCGAGCTGGAGCTGCGGAAGTGTACTTCGCGTACTAGACTTGTACTACAAAGTTGCGATTTTCGAGCTGGAGATGCGGAAGTGTACTTCGCGTACTAGACTTGTACTACAAAGTTGCGATTTTCGAGCTGGAGCTGCGGAAGTGTACTTCGCGTACTAGACTTGTACTACAAAGTTTCGATTTTCGAGCTGGAGCTGCGGAAGTGTACTTCGCGTACTAGACTTGTACTACAAAGTTGCGATTTTCGAGCTGGAGCGCTGTGGAAGTGTACTTCCGTACTAGACTTGTACTACAAAGTTGCGATTTTCGAGCTGGAGCTGCGGAAGTGTACTTTGCGTACTAGACTTGTACTACAAAGTTGCGACTTTCGAGCTGGAGCTGCGGAAGTGTACTTCGCGTACTAGACTTGTACTACAAAGTTGCGATTTTCGAGCTGGAGCGCTGCGGAAGTGTACTTCCCGTACTAGACTTGTACTACAAAGTTGCGATTTTCGAGCTGGAGATGCGGAAGTGTACTTCGCTTACCAGACTTGTACTACAAAGTTGCGATTTTCGAGCTGGAGATGCGGAAGTGTACTTCGCTTACTAGACTTGTACTACAAAGTTGCGATTTTCGAGCTGGAGCTGCGGAAGTGTACTTCGCGTACTAGACTTGTACTACAAAGTTTCGATTTTCGAGCTGGAGCTGCGGAAGTGTACTTCGTGTACTAGACTTGTACTACAAAGGTGCGATTTTCGAGCTGGAGCTGCGGAAGTGTACTTTGCGTACTAGACTTGTACTACAAAGTTGCGATTTTCGAGCTGGAGATGCGGAAGTGTACTTTGTGTACTAGACTTGTACTACAAAGTTGCGATTTTCGAGCCGGATCTGCCAAAGTTTGAAAACACTGTAAAACGATAAGGTCTCCCCCAAAAACGATAACGTTCAAAAAAGTACTAGGGCCAAGTAAAGTGTTTCGTCCGCTCTTCACACATATATATATATATATACTTGCTTAATTGCTTGCAAACTTACTCAGTTACTTAGTAGAGCCTACTTCCCTACCTACTTACGTACTTGCCCACTTGCTTACGCACACAGACGCACTAACACACTGACACACAGACACACAGACACCGACACACACGCACAAACACAAACACACACATCAACACACACAGACACACACGCAGACACACACGCAGAGGCACGCACGCACGCGCGCACACACACACACACCCACCCACCCACACACGCACCCACCCACCCACCCACGCACGCACGTAGGCAGGCACGCACGCACGTACGCACGCACGCACGCGCGCGCGCGCGCGTGCGCGCGCCCGCGCACACGCACACGCACAGGCACCCGCACCCGCACCCGCACCAGCATCCGCACCCGCACCCACACACACACACTCGCAGACACAGACGCACATACACGCACACACACATGCACACACACACACACACTTTCAACATCCAACAAACAATCAATCAATCAATCAATCCAAACCACACCAAACCAGCCAAGCAAACAAACAAGCAAGCAAGCAATCAAAACAGAAGCAACCACACAAACAAACTAACAAGCTAACAAACAGCAAAACAGCCAAGCAAACAAGCAAACACACAACCACTGAATCAATCAATCAATCACAGAAGCAATCAAACCAACAAATACAGCAATCAATCCCACAACAAACTTGCAAACACATTAGCAAACAACAAACAAACAAACAAACAAACAAACAAACAAACAAACAAACAAACTTTTCAATCAAACAAACAAACAAACTTTCAAACAAACAAACAA